AGGAAGTTTTTATTGGCTTTATACATAGTTGACTGACGATTTCGGCATGTTTGACTCCTTTGTAGATCTGGTCTTGCTGCTCATTCTTTGCTATTAACAATTTCAATCTAACTATTATAGTTTTCAAGCTAATAGACAAAAATGAAATAAAATGGTAAAATTTGTCATTTTAGGGCAATAACCCCTATAAGAAGTCGTCTGACAGTTTTGATGTAAATGAACAGTAGATAGATATCAACATTCTTAAAATGTTAGCCCTTTCAGATTTTCTCTTCCTATATCGGTTTTCAAGAAAAGAGACAAATTTTGCATTTTAACCCTGTGCTCTATTTTTACCCATATCGACTATTTTGTTTAGCAAGCGGGATCATCGGACTTATTTTAAAACAAGATACCCCAATGATGATTGTGACCAAGTTTGGTTCAACAGTTTCAGAGGAGAATATTTGTGTTAAAGTTAACGGACGACGACGGACGCCAAGTGATGAGAGATCACTTGACCCTTCGGGTCAGGTGAACTAATAAAATCAAACACACACAAACTCAATGAAACAAGAACATAGAAATTCATCACTGGAAAAAAAACCTCATCTTATCTTAAAGGCCTTTTCTGTAAGCCTCTTTAACTGAATACCGCTTTATGCCTATGTCAAACACATACAAACAGAAAGTATTAACAGTAGTATTAATCTTATAAAGTTAAAGATCTGCAATAATCACATATCTTCGATGTTGAGTTGTCATGGTTCTAATGAACGACTACAATTGATATCAAAACCCAATATAAACTGCATCACACAGAATTATTTGTTAGGGATAACAAAATCAATGGTATTATTACCATGGCACCCAACAAACAAATGCTCTTCTTAACACTTGTTTTATGATGCATCTAGAAAATAGAGTAATTAACGTGTTGTTCGTTTTTGATAATGAATTTGCTTGCATGTATTAAAATGATATAAAAAAAAAACTTTTGTGAATAGACCTTGAACTATTAACTATGTACTGAATGCTCCAATGCGTTTCCTTGATCTATAACGAAGTTTGAAGCCGCCTCCCAACATTAAACTATTCTCTCTTTTATGTAATAATGTTTAACTTGAATATCAATTATAAAAATTAACGAACAAATATTATGATATATTATAAAACATACTTTGTAAAGAAATGGGATACACTTAATAGGTTGCAATTCTGTAAATATAGACAATGCAATTTCCCATAGGAACTCCCTTTGCGGCTAAAACTGTGACACTTTTACTATGAAGTTTCGTGAAAAATAATATCCTAGAACGGAAAGTTTATATGCACTACTATTTTATTCAAAGGTCAAAATATAGGGCTGTGCGGCATATTTTCAACATTTATATGCCCTGAACTTCTAAGAGTTTAAACTTATACTAAAATTCTATACTACCCTTACCTCCATTTTTGGACCTCCTAAGAATTAAAATTTAGGCGCTACCATGTTTTTCTATACTGGTTACATTCCCAAGTGATGTCTCTATGAAATGAAACACAGAGATCATAAATGGGAACCAGTACGTTAACAAATTAACATATCTATGAATATTATATATCTCCCCAAAAGAGGCGTGGTTTGAGAAACAGCTGTATTTACAAAGTGCAACCTTAAAGAGTATAAAACCATGCTTATATTATATACGACTATGCGGTATGGGGTTTTCTCACTGTTGAGTGTCGTACGGTGGCCTATAATTGCTTACATCCATTTCATTTGAACTCTGAATATAGATATAAGAAAATGTGGTATGAGTGCCAATGAGACAACTCTGCATCCAAGTCAAAATTTATAAAAGTAAACCATTATAGGTCAAAGTACGGTCTTCAACACGGAGCCTTGGCTCACACCGAACAGTAAGCTATAAAGGGCCCAAAAAAATACTAGTGTAAAACCATTCAAACGGGAAAACCAACGGTCTAATCTATATAAAAAACGAGAAACGAGAAACACTTATGAACCACATAAGGCTGAAGGCTGAAGGCTAGTTATCTCATTGGCAATCATTCAAAATATCTCATTATTCTATATTGTACATGTATAGCAAGGTGTTCAATGTTACTTTCAAACATATATCTGGGTTTTTTTTATTTTTGTTTATCAATTGGAGTTTTCTATCATTACTCTTAGGCTTTTTACTGTGACAAGATGTGAAAAAAAAACGTTTCTTAAAACTAAAACATGGTCAAAATATAAACCCATCTAGAGGTAAATTAACAGATTCTCAATATAGGCCGTAGACATAATTTTATATGTTTACAGCTTATCTGATGCATGTAATGTAAAAAAAAAAGTTTCGAAGTTTCGAAGTTTCGAATCTTCTTTCTTTTGTTTGAACAAAAATCAAACTGTTATGTTATCATTATTTTTGAAACGTATGCAGTTTGTTCTAAGATTACTTTTTATCTATGGTTATTCAGAGTCCAACACTGATTGGGGTTACTCAAGAAATTGGGTTTTTTTTCTTGTAAATCAGCCGAATATAGCTACCTGTTGCTGTTTTAAAATTTTTAAGGTAGTCGGGATAGCAATGAGCAACCACCTTAAGTTAGATGCAATATATACACCCCATTCTTAGAGAAAATATACTCACTATCTTTATTCACTATATAATTTAAGTTCGGAAACAAAATTTTTTTTTTACACTAACGGTTATCTTCGTTCCAACATTCCGACGGCCGATGAACTTCCAAAAAAAAAATCGAAATAAACTCCAATCATAAGATCCTTTTATTTTTGTACTTTCAGTGTAGCACGATTTGCATTAAACATGCATTCTGTGGTCTTTTTTAATCTAATTATGAAACCAATTCGTCATAGTCAAATAAACATTTTATGCATTTGCACCCGGATATCTAATTAAACACAAAGACTAAATTAATTGTATACACGTGAGACTTAAGTTCCTTTCATTTAGATAAGAACGAACATCAATATTCATCAGTTGTTTGAATATCTGTTTTCTTTATCAATCATTTCATTACCTGTGAGATATATAGTCAACATTAAAACAGAATAGAGACTGTAGGCAATAGCAAAAAACGTCAATATTTTTTTTAATCGTTTTCTAGAACGATATTCTTTTAATAAAAAAAAGTTATTGCTACATCAATTAAGCGGGAATATTGATAGAAAATGACATAGATATTAAAGACAAAACACGTTGAAGCCGAAAACCTAGATATTTTTATTGTAATATTCAAAGAAAGAAAAAGGTCCTTGAATAAATAGGTCAGAACCATTTATATAATAAGTACGTCTAAACAAGTGACAACTCTACGACAAATCCATCCATTGGATCACCAGTGAAGGTGATACACGGCTGAAAACGCATATTTTATTCATAATTACTCTAAATATCAGCACAACAATTTAAATCTGCAAATTTGCGGAAGCAAATTTTTGTTCTTCCCTCGCCGGGATTCGAACTCATGCTATTGGGATATCGTGACAACACCGCCTGCACTGTGTCCAGCGCTCTAGACCATTCGGCCACCTAGACTGAACTAAAAAAATCAGCTTTCGGTGGCCTAGTGTTACCTTTCCTCGTCAGTAGAATCTAGAGTATTAACACAGTACATGATATATTAGGCATGAATATGGAATTGATTGCAGATTAGCTAAATTATCTGTCGTAAAGGATCGTAAGATGCAGTCACAGAAATTATTATTTGATATGTACGTCTAAACAAGTGACAACTCTACGACAGATCTATCCATTGGATCATCAGTGAAGGTGATACACGGCTGAAAACACATATTCATAATTACTCTAAATATCAGCACAACAATTTTAAATCTGCAAATTTGCGGAAGCAAATTTTTGTTCTTCCCTCGCCGGGATTCGAACTCATGCTATTGGGATATGTTGACAACGCCGCCTGCACTGTGTCCAGCGCTCTAGACCATTCTGCCACCTAGACTGAACTAAAAATTCAGCTTTCGGTTACCTTTCCTCGTCAGTAGAATCTAGAGTTGTAACAAAGTACATGATATATTAGGCATGAAGATGGAATTGATTGCAGATCAGCTAAATTATCTGCCGTAAAGGATCGTAAGATTCAGTCACAGAAATAATTATTTGATAAGTACGTCTAAACAAGTGAAAAGTCTACGACAGATCCACGCATTGGATCAGCAGTGAAGGTGATACACGACTGAAAACACATATTATATTCATAATTACTCTAAATATCAGCACAACAATGTTAAATCTGCAAATTTGCGGAATCAAATTTTTGTTCTTCCCTCGCCGGGATTCGAACTCATGCTATATACTTAAATGTATATGGAATTTTTTGTGCTTGACTGCAAACAAATATGCTTATATAGTCAATAGATTTGGATCCAAGCATCACTAAACGAAAAAATTCAAAGGTTTCATATAGAAACCATTAGAAAAGAAAGATGTGTTGTGTTTGTAAAGAGAACCTTTGCAAACCAAACAAAACAATTTCTAGTAAGATACATTTTTTTCATGTACTTCTGAGGAGGCTTCGACGTTTAAATCATCCACGATGCAAGTCAAGATAAAAAAAACGAAAAAGTATTTCAAACCAGGGTCCTCTTCCTATGTTTGACAATAATCGGTCTCGCTGCATTCGGAGTTCATGCTATTCCTCTGTTCTTTCGTGGTGTATGTATTTAAAATGGATTTAGGAGTTTCGCATATTGGTTTAGTACTATTGTCTCCTGTTACATGCATTTACCATAGTTTAAATAGAAGTCTTTTTCCTAGCTTTGATGTAGGCAGTTCTACATTTAAGATTCAGTGGCGAATAATGGATAATGAGGGTTTTACGCAACGCCAAACTACATGTAATCAGTTATTTTGGACACTATTTCTTTTCTTAACATTTTGACTAATATTAGAATTAAACAAAGCAATTACATAATTTACTTTGACTTCCACATTTTCATTTATGTTTCTCGAAAAAAAGATGCGTTTATTTACATTAATTCTTTTGTTTTACAGAACTATGGTCCCATAAAAACTGCTTGTAGTGTCTAACTCAACGATATCATGGGATGTGGTGATTCTAAATCTTCATCTGGGCAAACTCCAAGAGGTGGACAACCGCAAGATCAACGGGCGCCTAATAAGTTTGATAGGGTGAGTAATTCCTACAGTAGATTATTACATGTAAATGTAAAATGATCAGTATTGTTAGTAAATGCTAGGATAGTCCAAAATATATATATTTGTTTTACTATCGCATAATGAAAAATTTATTACTGACCCGGTAGGTAAGGGGAGATATTTTGTTGATACTTTTTTACATTGAGTCTTTCGGGGAGACATTGTGGTTTTAACCCGGCTTAATGGTAAATGGTAACAAAAATGGGTAAGCGGCCAAAAAAAAGGTAGGCCGTACGACAGTAAACACGCATACTTTTTATTTTGGCCGTATTGCACTTTATGGGGAGGGGTAGTATTAACGCTACGTATTAATCTTTAGCTAGTAAGTATAATCACTATAATTTATATGAATAGCAAATCTACAGCGTTGTTCAATCTCGTAGAGAATGCAATTTAAAATGAGAAACATTCTGCTTTGATGTATTTTTTTTCAAACAATAACAATGAGAATTAAGAGAAAATATGAAAAAAAATAATAATTGACTCATTAAAATTGTATAAGCCTGCTAAAAACTAATATAAAAGTAAGTTACAAGAAATGTTGTCATCTTCATACAAGGATTGATTTTTTCCTGGATTTCTTATATGGAAACAAACTGTATAATACAATGCAAAATAAACGATATCTTTCATTTTAAATCAAATTTATGCATACAAAATCTTCACACCAAAAGGAAAACGACGAAGAAAATATGAGTACAACAGAAGAACAAACGGAGAGCAAGCACAACACTCAGGTTACTATGTAGTCTATCGTAGGTGAAGTGGACGGGTCTTTGGAGATGGTTAGACCAAGGATTTTAATAGTATTACCTACTATAAAAGTCTTTGGTGAGACTACTGACCGAACGTAGATATTGGTGCAGTGTTTTTGTGCATTGCATTGTTTTGGTTATTATTATTTGGCTTAGACCATATTACTAGATTATTTATTTGTATTAGTTAATAATCTTGATATTTCATTACTTGTTTAAAGAAATAGTTCAGTGTCCATATGCATTTAATGAAAATATTATTCAAAAACATCACATGCATATAATATTTTTTAGTATATATACTGATTTGCGTTTTATATCCAAAAATAAGTCGCGGTTAGTTTATTTAGTGAGAAGAATCAATCTTGCAATCTCTTCCAAATGTGCATATACAGCTTTTTTATTACATGCATTTCTCACGTATTATGAGATATACATGTAGGAGAACTGTATTTGGTATATATGGGATCCTTGCAAGGTCTATATGTCCATCAGTCATGGTTCACCTGACCTTGATTTCATTTCATGGATCAGTGATCAGGGTTAAGTTTTCGGAGTCAAGTCCATATCTCAGATACTGTAAACAATTGGGGCGTGTTTTATTGGTCTCTTCTGTACATCTCCAGAATGTCTTCTGGTGAAGGGTCCAAAAAAATGAATCTGGACCTCTTCTGGAGATATTCTGTAGAAAAAGCAATAAAATAAAAATTCAATTTGCCGTCCTAAATAGCTGATTTTTTTTATGTTGGATGTCATAAATGAAGTTTACGATGATTCATTAGAAAATTAAGATACGTTAATAGTTCCGATACGATAGACATGACTGTAATATAGTGTGCTCTGTTTTGGCATTGATGCAATTATACAATACGTGTAAAAACAAAGAAAAATGGTTTGGAAGAAATGATCGCTGTGTTCGTGACATTTTTTTCTTAATGTTGTCCTAACTCGATTTTGCTAAACAAATCCGGCTTAAAGCCCCGACCATTTGACTTTCAGGAATAATCTTAAACTGTACAAGAATTTGTCAATGTTTGTCTGGCATATGATCGAAAAGGACATCTTGTCTATCCGGCCTTTTTTTAAAGTGACCAAAACTGGATTATTTTTGTATAAAGCAAAGACATCGCAGAGTTCTCAAAATCATTTTCCCTGGTGGTCCTTGAAGAAATTCTGCTGGTCCTAACTTATTTCTGTGGCAAAATTTCGACGGGCAAAACCTTCGGACCACCACTTTTCGAAAACCTTAATTGTATATGCACGTACATGTATACTAGGTATACAAGGTCTTGGTGTTTCTCAGACTGTTTATGACTAAATCCGTTGCTTGTGTACTGATTGATACTTAAATCTGGGAAATTTATTTCAGTGTTAGTTGTAATAAGCTTTGAACAAACTTTCATCAGCTGCACTGAATACTTCTATTTCGGTGCTTTGTGTCTATATTGTCTTAATATTAGTTGTTTTTTGAGTCTCGTACCGATCTTTTGAGTTAATCTAATTACAGTTTGTTCTTGTGTTGTACTGATACACCACTATCCCAGTTTAGCGGAGGGTTGATCGCTCACAAACATGTTTAACCCTGCCATATTCTTTATGTGCCTGTCCCAAGTCAGGAGTCTGTAGTTCAGTGGTTGTCGTTGGTTCATATCTGTCGACTCATATTGAATTTTTGTAAATTGTTTTGTTATATATAATTAGGCCGTTAGATTTTTCGTTTGAATTGTTTATCATTTTTCATGTCGGGGACTTTTATAGCCGACTATATGGTATGGGTTTTTGTCATTGTTGAAAACCGTACGGTTGCCTATAATTGCTTACATCCATTCATTTGAACTTCGGTGGATAGTTGCCTCATTGGCAATCATACCACATTTCCTTTAAAGGCTTTTTTATATTATATACCTGACTTTTAAACTCGTGTTTTCCTGAACATGCATGTTAATTTACGTTTTTTTATTGAGTTAAGCCTTCCAATTGATATTTTATAGTGTGTTTTTTCTATGTTGTGATGTTATACTATTGTTTCAGAAAAGGGAGAAGGTTTGGTACCATTAAAACGTTTAATCCCGCTGCAAATGTTTGCACCTGTCCTAAGTCAGGAATCTGATTACAGTAGTTGTCGTCTGTTTATGTAGTTCATACGTGTTTCTCGTTTCTCGTTTTTATATAGATTAGACCGTTGGTTTTTCCGTTTAAATGGTTTTACACTAGTAATTTTTTGGGGCCCTTTATAGCTTGCTGTTCGGTGTGAGCCAATGCTCCGTGTTGAAGGCCGTACCTTGACCTATAATGGTTTAATTTTATAAATTGTAACTTGGATGGAGAGTTGTCTCATTGGCACTCATACCACATCTTCCTATATCTATGGAATATTTGTCACTGGACGTTAAAAATAAGCCACCAACAATAAATCAATATAAACATGTTAAACTTGTGTTAAATGAGGGGAAAATCATTTGATTTTTTTGGGGGGGGGGGGGGGCAGGAGGATTTCACATATGAATATAGTGGCCTGGTAAGAGCTGAAAAAATAGACATGATTCAGTAGCGACAGATTAAAATGAATAATAAATCCGCAAAAAATCGTCCTTCCCCTCCCCTCCCCTCCCCAGAATATCAAATAATCGTCAGGGCCCCTTACTGTTATTGTCCGTGTAGTTCTTATATTTATCCAGCTTAATTATCGTCCCTACAGGGATGTCCTACTAAGGCTGCCATACCATAAAAACGTTCATCACAAAGCTCACATTATATTATAGTTGCATTCATAAATTTATTAATGTCATTTAGACTTATCGACGCCATGTTTGTTATGTGCCTCTGCCGTCTAAACCACCTATTTAAAATGAAGAGGTAGAAGAGAGCCAGGAGATCTTCCCAATGCAAAAAAACAGAAATGGACATCTTCTGGCTCACTACCGAAGAACAAAAAAACACGCCCTTGGTCAACTACATTTGGTGTATGGAATGATTATTAGTCTGGCAGAGTTCATCTTACCTTGACAGCATTTCATGGTTCATTGGTCATTGTCACGTATTCGTGGTTAGTTCCGTTTCTTAGATATTATAAGCAATAGGTCCACTATATTCGATCTACTGAAGGATTGTAAGGTTAACAATGTACGTGTTCGTCTGTTCTTTGATTAATGTTAAGTTTTCATTGCAAGTTCGTTCCTAAGATTCTAATACTTTATAGGTCAACAATATTTGGTGTATGGGATGTAACATGCCCGTCTTGTTGGGTTCATCATATCCTGACCTTATTTACATGGATCATAGATAATATTAATTTTATGTGGTTCGTGTAGAAAAACCGTCAACTTCTAATATAAAAAGTGAAATAACAAAAATACCGAACTCCAAGGAAAATTCAAATCGGAAAGTCCATTATCAAATGGCAAAATCAAAAGCTCAAACACATCAATCATAATCAGTAAAGCGGGCGAGACATTTCATCATGTGGTGTTATTGATGGTTCCTGTGTCATTGGTTTACACAACTTCTTATCCATATGTGCATGTATGTAAAAGAGGCTTTAACGCGATTCGTGATCATGTATGCAAGAAAAAATGTAAAAGCATATTAGAAGATTATAGAATTTAGTAAATATTTGTATTGGTAGTGCTTTAACATAGTTATCGTATTAAATCAGCTTTCAGAAATAGACAGTCAATCAACTAAAACTCAGAACAGTACGGTAAGATCCTGATCATCATAATGTATAACCCAAATCTTTGCTTTCCTTGTATAGATACATTTGGTTTATCGAGTATCAATACCATAAACTAGACTGGTTCGTTGGTGTTTTTTTTTACATGAAATTTGTTGAGAAACAATGCTTTTGACATGTTTGTTGCATACTTTTCGTAAATAGTTATTTATCTATCAAACAAAATAATTGATAATTACCAATTTTAAAAGTATATTTAAGAAAGCCGGATTTTCACTTTAATGCATTTTAAGAACATAGAAAAGTAGCATTTCGGGATGCATTTAAACTCTTTTATTTACAAAAAGCTTCTAATGTAAAATTTGAAGTTCTTTCATGAAACAGATTTGCGGCTTATTTACTTATTTATTTGAAATTGACATTTCGTTTTTTTTTTATTTATCGATATTTTTTGCTACAAAAATATTTTACTCCGTTATATATGACCAATCCGATATAGCCCATTTAAATAAATACCAAAGGGCCAGAGTCTCGATGAACCAAATGACATATGTGTATACATATACCAAAATGACATATGTGTATACATATACCAAATGAAATATGTGTATACATATACCTATTGACAATGTGTGTATACATATACAAACCTTCAACCAATTTTTTACCTCTTCAAGCTTATTTATGTTCTCTGCTTTTAACCAAGGTGTAGCGGTTTTATTTAATAAAGTTCTACATATACAAATGTAGTAGATATAATTTATCTTGTGTACCTTTTTATTTATTTAATTTAGTGACATTATAATGAAAATTATTATAGTTGTAAATTTTCACAATAATGAATTCATATCAGATAAGTAATTTATGAACAATCTGATGTAAATTACCTCTTACTATCTCTGTAAAACTTGTGTAAGATGGTAAGCTTACACATAGTCCACAATGCTTCTTTCCCCGAGTTAAAATATCTGCACATGCATGTAACAAGCAAACTTTTTGTGTAAATTTATTATTTGCATGGGTATAAGTGCATGCTACAACTGGTTTTTTTTTCTATTTACTGTACAATGTTATATTATTTTTATGTCATCAACAGGCCCTGTACGGGGGACGAGCTGCTGCTAAATGGGTAAACATTTGTTTGAGAACAAATCTCCTTTGTGTGTGTGGTTTTGGTCGTACAAATGAAATATACATGTTTAGCAACCATAACATTGATCTATTTACTAATGGGATATTTTTCTTTGTATGTATATTACTATGGTGTCAAGTTTCGGATATATCGAAAATATTACTTTGTCAAAAAGCTTTATCCATTAAATAAGTTTCTCAGAATCCGTTTTTTTTTTCCTTCTTCAAAAAGGTAGAATCCAGAACAGCTCGTTGTAGCAACATGGTCAAAATATATATTTCTTTATTATTCCGTTAATACATTAAGAAATTATTAATTATTATAAACTAGTAAGGCTGCAACGCTTTCAGACAAAGTTGACCTTAAATGGTTTTTGCTTTGCTTTTTTCCATTTTCGTCATATATAGGTCGCCAAGTATTATACATCATTGGCTTTCCAATTTTTAGATTTGAAACTTTCTTATGAAGGTAAATTCAGAAAAGAAATTCGTATACACCAAATTCATCAACTGTTATTTTCATTTTATGACCCAAAATATATTTTACGTATTTGTATTGGGATTTACACAATGGTAAAGGTAACGCATACTTTGTAAAGTGGTTGAAGTAGCACATGGCTTATTAGGTCACCAGTATATGGGGGTCTAGCTGGGGGTCCTTTATTTCTTTATTCTTTAATTTTTACGCCATTTTTCTCCATTCTTTATCCATTTTGCCCACTATTCTCTACTTCTTCTAGGGGGTGTTTAATGACCTTGGCTATACCCATTATTCTCTGTTCTCTATATTTAAAACCCAATTATTCTCTATTCTGTAAACCCTACACATCCCGTCGTATATGGGCTTTCTTCTACGTGATTATAGTGGACGTTTTGATATATTCACTAACATGCATTTTGATATTGTACTTAAATACTAAAATTGACTTTTACTTTTTACTGTCTTACTGAAGACTTTTTAACATGCAGAAAAAAACAAGTCGCTATCTGATATTCTTATAGTTAAGCAGTTATAACAATTAATTTGAATACTAAACCTCATAGTTATATCAACATTACTGAAATGATAAACGACTTTCTAACTATTATAAATTGTTGCATCTTAATTTATCTCAAGTATTGTAATATGGTAAATGGAATGCCTAATATTCGTTGGTATTTTCATTGATTGAAGATTATTACCATCTTTGTTTTGAAAGCAAAGCGTTGCCCCATGATCTGTATAATGTAAACAAAGAGGGGACACAAAATGTATTTTGTAAGCGAAACGGGGACACTGATATCTGATCATATCGGTACATTTTAATCATATCGATTATTGTTAAGATGAGTTTTTTCCCTTTTAATTCAAGATTTATCAAAATGTTAAAATAAAGCTATGTATGTATGTATATTTATATAAGAGTATTGTCAGTAACAGTCAGCTTTATTTGTTTACGTTATTACTTTTCACATATATACCATTATATTTTGTAATAATTCATTTTTTTATAATTCATTTGCATATTCAAGGCATCAATATTTGGATATTATATATAATGCTAATACATATTTTTGCAATGACTGGCTATTTTCAGTCAAACTATACTACACGATATACAATGTATGTAAATGTAGTTTTACCGAACATGCCATCTTTTTTAAATATAACAATATTAAATTTCATATATACATTTACAGAAAAGAGCTGTGGCGGAGAAAAATGCATCCGTCAAAGGTAGCAAAAACTCTACAACAGAGAAAGACGCTAGAAACAGAAATGCTAGGAAAGGGAAAAGAAATCAGGCTGTAAAGGAACCAGTCAACGAAAAAGGATACAAGGTAAGATTGTCATTTTGTTTTAAATGCTCAAACGTTGAGGTTTTCTCCGCTTGTGAAGATATTATTGATATCGCTCCTGTTAAGACATTCTTTTGGGTTAAATCGTGTGCATGAAAAAAGCAGTGACTAGAGAGTTCGAAGACTGTTGAACATATTTCATTTTTTCAATATATATTCTAAGTTTCATTCGAATGCAATTGTTCATTCCCTAGTTATATGATGAGATTTTATGTAGACGAAACGCGTGTCTGGCGTGCTAAAATAAAAGTCTGATATTCTTGATTAATCTTATATTTTAAAGATTGTTGAATACTTGCATCTTAAAATAACATCGCCAGATCTGGCATACCTGACTAGTTTCATTATTGGTTATCTCTGTTTTAGAAAAGAATACGTGAGAATCTTCGACAAGCGGCAACAGGCTCAGACATCGAAGAAATCCTGTTAAGACATTCTTTTGGGTTAAATCGTGTGCATGAAAAAAGCAGTGACTAGAGAGTTCGAAGACTGTTGAACATATTTCATTTTTTCAATATATATTCTAAGTTTCATTCGAATGCAATTGTTCATTCCCTAGTTATATGATGAGATTTTATGTAGACGAAACGCGTGTCTGGCGTGCTAAAATAAAAGTCTGATATTCTTGATTAATCTTATATTTTAAAGATTGTTGAATACTTGCATCTTAAAATAACATCGCCAGATCTGGCATACCTGACTAGTTTCATTATCGGTTATCTCTGTTTCAGAAAAGAATACGTGAGAATCTTCGACAAGCGGCAACAGGCTCAGACATCGAAGAAATCGAACATGCCATTGAATTGTTTGAGAAAAATAAACTAGAAGATAATGGTGATTTAGAGGATGCACAAGAAAGATTAGAATTCTTATACTTACGGAAAGGTAAATTTGTTGTTTTCATTTTATCTTTAGGCGTTCAATCTAGTACTAGTAATCAATGATAATTTTACTTCGATTGAACCTAAAGAAATTCTCAAAAATCTACTATAATGCTAAAATATATTTTTACCATTTAGTAATTCGTATACACTGCTTCAGAATTGAAAAAAAAAGAAACAGTCCAGTAGTAGCTAGTTCTGTAAACGTTTACATCTTTTATAATAATACTGAGTTTTGGCTGGTTTCTTTCTTATATTGTATCCGTTTTCGTTTGTTCTGCAAAACTATTCATGGTTTTTACGACTTCTAGTGCATATGCCTCCGATAAACTTCTCTGCATACTAGGTCATAATTTGCCAAAATTAATATTCCTTTCGAGCCTCTTCCAGCCAGAACGATTTGCAATATTATATACTTTATCCACCACAGCCTATTACTGGCTATCGGTACGGAAGATACAATTAATAGGATCTAGTTGCTATTAAAACAATTGTTTTGGCTATCTATAGCGTATATTTTTGTTTGCGTTTCAGTACACTAATTTTGATATTTGTTACCTATTGTATCTGTTGTACAAATAGCCGGTAATAGGGTATGTTATCTGCATTTCAAAAGCAAGAATGGCATACCTAAAATAATTGACGGTGGCGATCCAATTTTTTTTACAAAACAAAAATGTCAAGACAGCACGACAGAGAAGATTGATTTTTTTCATTTTTTTGGTCTTTATACCTAAATTGGTATGTCTATTGAGACAAGAACCAGACACATACAACACGAATCTATAGATCACTTTCAGATAAAAAATATATTTAGTTACCTTTGAAGTACTTTAGATTGGTAAACGATGAAGGCATTTTTCATTGTTCAAGATAATGGGACATACATATTGATTTGCATATTGAACTAAACAGATTTGTAATAAAATATTGTAAGCGAGTCACGACATTTATTTTTTTAATTCAATTTGTTCAATTTTATTTGAAAAACTAAAATGTGTAAAAATTGAATCGATTGCATTCCATTTAAACAACCAAACTGTCACATATATGATATATACAATGAAACACGTAATATGATTCTATTGTTTAGAAATGACTTACTTTATAAACAAAGAAATGTGGTATGATTGCCAATGAGACAACTCTCCACCATAGACCAAATTACGTAGAAGTTAGAAACTGTTATAGGTATTCGTATGGCCTTCAACAATGAGCAACACCCATACCACATAGCAAGATATAAAAGGCCCCGAAATGACATTACCTTTTTTACTGAGTACTATATAAGTAAATATTTCACGAAAAAATCCATCCCTGTATCTGGTCTCTGCAATCTTGACATCAAAGTTTAAACGTTATTATAACTTGTTAAATACAAGTGAATATATCTGAGAAACATATATTTTTATTTCATTTTATTTTGTAGAAATAAGAGACGCTATATTAAGAAGGCATCCGGGTATTTTAGACAAAGCTATTGCAAATGTGCAGTCATCACAGTATCGTTCGGAATTAATGCATTATTTAGAAAATGCGAAGGCATTAAAGCAACATTTAACAGAACTGAACCGTTTTAGTCATGATATATTGAAAATGCAACAAGAAACAATATCAGAACTCCGTAGTTACATAAATCCACCTGCAGGGGTCAAAGAGGTCATGAAGAGCACATATTTGATTATTGGATATGAGGAGTCTAAATTAAAGGTAATCGATGCTGATCAATTCCCCCATTCTGGAATCAACCATATAGTGTCACGGTTTTGGGGACAGAGTATAAAGATATTGGCTTAGGGGTTTATCTTAATATCTGTGAATTATTTTCTATAAAAATAAGAAAATGTGGTATAATTGTCAATGAGACAACTCTCCACAAGAGACCGATTGCTAGTCTATTAAATTGGAGAGTGGCTATTGTTGATAGTTCCAGGTGAGCGACACAGTCTCTTTACTGCCTCTAGTTATACTATACGCGGCACATGGTTAGTTTTTCAATAGATATAAGATGTGGTATGAGTACCAATGAGACAACTCTCCATCCAAGTCAAAATTTATAAAAGTAAACCATTATAGGTCAAAGTACGGTCTTCAACACGGAGCCTTGACTCACACCGAACAGCAAGCTATAAAGGGCCCCAAAAATTACTAGTGTAAAACCATTCAAACGGGTAAACCAACGGTCTAATCTATATAAAAAACGAGAAACACTTATGAACCGATACACGTTTTTTATTTCATTATATATGCAGAACATTACTTAATAGGAGAAAAGAATTATAACAAATGACTATGAATGTGGTTCATTTATCGTATCCAAGATTGCAATGCTCTATCACCAAATACGACTTATATCCGGATTTTTACTTGCCGTTCGTAACTCGACGAGTGCCACCTGTAAAACAGTTACTGCTTACCCGCTCAAAATATCCGGGTTCAACACGAGGCGTTTTATTTTTTTTATTGAGTTTGTGTTTCTTAATGTTTGATTTCCATATTCGGTAGTTTTGTGAGCTGTTATTTGTCCTTCCAGTTTTTTGTCTAGAAGTAGTGGTAGATTGTGTGTATATGTTAGTCATGGGTATAGCATGGGGTGATGTGTTCGGTATATAGCCAACTCAGTCAACGAGGTCCCTTCATTTCTTGTTTATTTCATAGTATTAATGTATGGCGTGGGATGTTTTTTTTCCAGATAGATAGACTTCTAAGACAGAGGGGATCATCAACTCTTATTTAAATCCATCTTCGGAATATACGAATTATAATTTAGTCGTTAGGTACATTTCTTCTTTACATATATGCAAACAGGTGTATTTTTTTTTAGGAATGGGCCGATATACAAATACTTTTAGGACGACATGGAAGAGAAAAACTTCTTAGAGAGGTAGAAAAAGCAGACACTGTCAACTTAGATGAACATACATGCAAAAGAGTAGAACAATTACAAAAAGATTTTACTATTGATGATATCAGAAGTGTTAGTAATGGTGCTGCAACCTTCTATTTATGGGTAAGTGTTAACTATGGTGCTGCAAACTTCTATTTATGGGTAAGTGTTAGTTATGGTGCTGCAAACTTCTATTTATGGGTAAGTGCTAGTTATGGGGGAAGTAAATTCTACCTGTGAAAGCATTAGAGGTTTGTATTCATTCTGTCATATTTATTTATTATTTATTTATTAATGTTGATGCAGCTTACAAGTGAATTATGATTTTTAGCTAATTCACATTTAACTTTTATGTCACTTTTGATAAATTCAGAAACATTTGTTAGTTGTTGTATTTTTTTTTATCGTGATGGGTAGGCGTTTATAATAGTTCTAATGACTATAGCAACCTCTTTATAATTATTATAAAGATACTTTGTTGTTTTGTGGGTGAGCATAGGGGATTGCATTGTAGCAAGTGAAATTGCTAGTTATGGTGCGGCAACTATTATGTATAAGATATTCTGCTGCAACTCGAATTATTAATATATTATCAATGGTTCTGAAACCTGCTTACAAACAATTTAACATATGGTAATGCGAGCCACGAAAACAAAATAATCATTATTGTATAGAATATTTTATTGGTATGCTGTTGCAATTGTTTCTCCGGTAATTTTATATCAACTGATCATCGATATTGCTAAATAGAATTGAGAATGGAAATGGGGAGTGTGTCAAAGAGACAAACAACCCGACCAAAAAAGCAGAATACAGCCCAAGGCCACCAATGGGTCTTCAACTCAGCGAGAAAATCCAGCACCTGAAGGCGGGCTCCAGCTGGCCCCTAAACAAAAATGTGTACTAGTTCAGTGAAAATGGACGTTACACTAAACTCCAAAATATATAAACGGATTAAAATTAAAAAACATACAAGACTAACAAAGGCCAGAGGCTCCTGACTTGGGACAGGCGCAAAAATGCGGCGGGGTTAAACATGTTTTGTGAGATCTCAACCCTACCCTTATACCTCTAGCCAATGTAGAATAAACAAACACACAGCAATACGCACAGTAAAACTCAGTTTAAAAAAAGTCCGAGTCAGATGTCAGAATAGGTAACAAAAGAAACTAAGCAAAATAACAATGATACATAAATTAGCAAAGGACTACCAGCAGTTACTGACTTGCCAGCTAAAGCCTACTTATGAATAAAAATAGAATCTGTAGAAAAACCTCATCAGTTTCATATGCAATTTATCCATAACGCCTAACAACGGCAGCTGTTAAAGATGAATATCAAAGAATGTCGCTTAAATGGTCCATGAGAGGGGTATTTGAACTTTCTGTAACGTATGAAATCTCTTAAAACATCGTCTCAAAGCTAGTGTGAAGACCAGAAAAAAAAAAACATCTCCTACATCTGGTGATCTGTTTATTTGGCAATCGCCATGGCAGTCAGCAGGGTTTAAGAACATCCGTTGTTCGCCCTACTAATCAAATGCGTTTTGTTAAAATATACTTTTTCACTTTTTTGGTCTTTTGGAAAATGTTGTTTGTGCTGTATTTAGACCCCTCTACCAAGAAATTTGTTTTGCATGCACACGTATAAAAATTGCGGTTTTTATCCAACGCAATCATAGGTTTGAATGTTGTTTTCAATTTAGACTTGTATATATATAATAATACGTCTAAACAAATGACATCTCTACGACAGATCCATCTATTGGATCACCAGTGAAGGTGATACACGGCATATTCATAGTTACTCTAAATATAATGTGTGTGTCTGTTCATGGTACAGATGCTTAAAAAGGAAGTTTTATAGCACTAATCCTACTGAAGGAGGTGGCATGAGAATTTCGGTTTACAATTCTCACAACTTCTTCAATTTTAATTTCAGAATCAAAATATGTCAAGAAAATACAGTAAAGATAAACAAAGATCTGCAGGTTCAAATCCACCTCCAGCAGCCAACAGAAAGAAGAATAAAGGATAGATTAAGACATTTTATATATATTTACACTCATTTTGTCATTTGTATTTATATCATTATTTAAACTATTGCCAAGGAACTAGATAGACGCCAAAACATATCTGTCTCATGTATTTGTTAGGTTCGTCCTTGCTTAATGCAAGGACAATTTGATGTTCTTTTGCCAATTTCGATTGTTTTCGTATCATAGGGATATGATCGGTGGATACAAAACATGCGATTGAGTAAAGGTACCCTGAATCGAGTTACGGTCCTTGGTTTAGAGTAATTTAAAACACGTGGTTCGTTTTTTGAAAGTTATGGCAAAAAAATCAAAGTTGCATATCATTAAGAAGAGAGGTATAAAGCAATGAGAGGTTATGGGCCAATTTTATTTCTGTTAAAGAACTGTATTAATTCTTAACAGAATCGTCACCTACTTGTCAAATCTACGCATTTCGGAAGCCATTGAAAAAGTAAGGGCATAGTAGCTAGAAAAGTAAATGATAATATAACATTTTATGAAATAATAGTTTTATTTATTTAGCGTGTCTCAAATTGTGCCATTTAATGCAGTTCGAAGCTAGAGTGTCTGTAAATTTTATTTATAAACTTACTAATTATTTTATATTTGTAAGCGCGAACTATTGGACAATAGACCAAGAATGAAAATCACTCGACTCGCACATGGAAAAGGTAGCACATATTCTTAAGTTTAAACATAGACGCATTTTACACCCCATTTCTGTGTAAACAAAATGTGGTTGATTTGTTAGTATCCTTTTTCAAGTGATCTGTTACGAAACTGTGAAATAATAAAAATCTGTGATACTTTGTGTATTTAGAATAAAAATAAAAATGTGCATTTTGTGTCGCCTAGTTGTTTTGTCACTATCATGGTTATTTATTTATTTTTTATATCAACAAGTGAAGTTTTTTTTTAAACAAAAATTTTGGTCTTAAATTTGATTTATTTTAAGCCTATATATGGTGTAAAATTTGTGCTTTGGTTCAAATGCGTGAGGTATTTTCTGACAAAAGCTGCTAGTAGGTTTTTCTCATGGGATTCTATGTTAAACTGTATTGCATGATGGCAGACATTTTGGATTTCACATCGGCACCAAAAACTCATAATAAGTATAGAACCACACTGGTATTTATTTAATGTTTTGGTTTAAATTAGACGGTTTATAAGGAGAAGATACTTGTGCGTATTTCAAATATGGCTTAATGTTAATCTATGTTCCACAGAGGCGACCATCTTTCATTTTTGATAGGAACAAAATACATAAAATTAGTACAAGGACACCTTTGTTCATGTGTACATGATTTTGGTTTTAATTCGTGGAAGGGTTTCTGAGAAGCTTATTGTATGTCCCTGTATAGTTCTATGTGTATCGTGTTCCAGTGTGGAGGTCATGATTACTTAATTCGGTTTGGGAACAAAAACTGCAAATAATTATAGGATCATCCTTCTATCATTTTCTACAAAATTTAGTTGAATGTGTGAGACGGTTTCTGAGAAGAAGCTATTTGTATGTATTTCTAATAGGTATTCATATAGACTATGTTACATGGCTGCATACATCTTTGATTTGAATGGCATCAAAAACTAAAAATTAGTAAAGAATCAATCCATCTATGGATTATTTCTACAATATCTCAATCAAATATGCCAAGCGATTCCACAGAAGATCTCTGCAATTTCAGGCAATAAGAACACACATTTGGACCGGCAGCCGATTAGAATTTTCGATCCACACCAAAAATTCCTAAAAATCGTCATTCAAGAGTGATAACTCCTATTGTGAGTTGACTGGCGATTTCAGTCATGTTGAATTATTTCTATATCTTATGTTGTTCATCATTTTTGCTATATACAGTTTCTCTCTGCATCTCATAGTTTTCATAAAAACACAAAAATGGGTAATCAGCGCCGTTCAATGACAATAACTCCTATAACGCATTTGAATGATTACTCGGTCATGTTGACTTATTTGGAGATCTTATGTTGTTTGATCATTTTTCAGTTATTTATATTTTCTATATATTTACCTTATTTCCGTACAAATAATTTTTCAAGGCATATAACTCCTAAAAGTAATAAACTGACGATTTCGGCTATGTTGACTTGTTTAATTATGTTACCGTATGACCTATAGTTGCTAACATCTACGTTATTTGGTCTTTGGTGGATAGCTGTCTCATTGGCAATCATACCACATCTCCATATTGTATATTTATTTGTAGTTCGTAGATTTTATTTTCTGATATTTTCTGATATTTTTTTGTCTTTTTTGACATTCCTTCTAACTACTAAAGTCCTCCTAAAATACTACAAAAAGGGTAACAAAATCGGCATTCAAGGGCAATTACTAAAATAAGGAATCAGCTAATGATTACAGACATGTTGACTTATTAGTAAATCTTAAGTGTTGATTAGTTTTGCTATTTATTGTTGATCTCTATCTACTATTATAGTTCAGCAATAGGAAACAAAAAAAAAATGGTTATAACTTGTCTTTTAAGGGCAATAACTGCTATAAGGAGTTGACTGATGATTTCCGTTTTACCCCTAGTATGTTCTGTTTCTATAATTGATGATCATTTTGGCTGGCAGGCAAGATCATTGGACACATTTTTTTTAACATGATACCTCAAGAATGAGTGTGGCCAAGTTGGGTTCTAATTGGCTTTGTAGTTTCAGAAGAGAATGTGTGTCAAAGTTAACGGACGACGGATATCAAGTGATGAGAATAGCTCACACTGGTCCTTGGGGCCAGGTAGACTAAACTGATGAACTGAGAGAGAAAGCATTGCTAAAATATAACTAACACAAAGAAATCTATAAAAAAAATATCGCCATGTTCTTCAACGTCTGAATTTCTTAAATTTTTTTCTGTCTTCTTGGCATTATTTTTCACTCTACCGTTTCAGCTTCCTCTTTTTCTTTCCGTTATAATAATTTAGAGATGCCTTCCTTGCCGCAAGACATCTAGACCAGAGTAATTGTTAATGTAATTTATTCTTTTTTTCTTTTCTATTATAGTTGCTTTATAAAACGAAAACATTCATTGCGATATTATGTAAGCAAAGAGTAAAGATGTAGATCCAATTTTTTCTATATGCGCTTCATTCATTCGGTTAAAATCAGAAAGGTTTTGAAACCTCCCGGAATTTGACCATTAAAAGACACTACATATGAATAGCTACACTAAATGATGTACTTTTAAAAAATCAAAAAATTAAAAAAATTACAGTTTTGAGTCATCTTTTGAACAATTATAATTTGGTCACATGTTTAGAAAAAACGCCACAATGTTGATAGAACCTCAAAGTGCATACATAAACTCCAGACGCTGTGAAATTTACCAAAGATAAAAAAAAATGTTTTAAGTGTGAAATAAATTAGTCCTACCGCTTTATGGCTCATGAAAATCAAAATTTGGAAATCAATGTTTGCATTTATTGATGGTCGAAGGAAAAGCATATTTTTTAGAATTATGCAATTTTGAAAATTTCGACACGACGGGTGCCACATGTGGAGTATGATCTGCTTAGTCTTTCGGGTCATCTGAGATCGCCCACGGTTTTTGATGGGGTTAGTGTTGCTCAGTCTTTAAGTTTTCTATGTTGTGTTTAATGTACTGTTGTTTGTCTTTTCGTCGTTTTTCGTGCTTTGCCATGGCATTGTCAGTATGTTTTCGACTTATGAGTTTAAATATCTCTTTGGTATCTTTCGCCTCTCTTTCTGTTATTGAATACTTATCAAAAGAATATCAATACTCTGGTCTATTTGAGTGGTATTTTCGCATTAGATAAAACATCAAATTATTTTACAGTACACGAAATCAGACAAACATACGCATAGCATTAAAGAACCCTATTTGAAATAAGCTTGAACGCTTGAAACTTTCTTTCGAAAAACAACAAAATGAACGTTTTATTACGTTTTTTTTTTCGTTTTTTTATTATTTTGTTGTGTTTTTCTTAGCTTTTTTGTTTCTGGATGAAATATTAACAGATGGAAGAAACTTAATTTATCGGTCGAATTTCTGAGTTATTCATATTCAGGGCGAACGAGGAATAGGCGGTTGAAACTAAAATTTACTTTAAACATAAAGTTACAAATTGAATTCATTCTTTGCGCGAAATGTAAATACACATACATATCAACAATACACGCATTGTTCGCGTAAATCGAACTCACCTATGAGGTTGAATTGGAATGGTCCGTCACAGGTAGATACACTTTCACGGTGAACACTTTTCTCAAGAATCGAATAAATCTACAGAGCCCTTTCGTCTGTTAGCTGACAACAGTTAGTATTACATTCTATTGGCATGGCAGAGTCTAAAACAGCCTATGAACTGAAAGATATACCACTGGTTAAAAGTGTAGTTGGGATTTACTCTCGAACGAAGTCATCAAACTTCTTTTTGACCTATAGTTGTTCGGCGACAGAGAAAAGTCTTAATTTTTTAGTAGAATCGATTGTTGAAAGAACCGGGTGTGGTATGTAAATAGCTTTTTTTAAATTTGTCAAACAATAATTCTAAAATAAAATAAATACAACTAATATCTTTAAGGTTCACTCGATTAACATATCGATATTTTTATTTATAGCGCTCTTTTTATCATGCTCGGTTAGTGGTTATATTTTTGTAATCTTTATTTTTGTTTTTCCTGTCTGTTTGTTTTTATTGAATATAAATTGACGTTTGCATCAATACATGTCTGTTTACTGGCAATGTGCAGTTGACTATCTTGATCCTTATTACTGAAAAGACCTCCAGTTGTTATGATGAGCCTCACTTTATTATTTATTAAAGTATAATTATACATAGAGGATCCTGTAGCCAAACATTGAAGGTTCATCATAATAATTGGATAAAAATGTCTGTTTACACATCGAAAATTACTAAGTGCAGACAAAACTGTTCATTTGGAAAGTTTTAAGGCTTAAGAGTCCGCTTGTTATTATACGTTATATGCGTTTTCTGCTTCAGAAAGACGATTTTTTGGGGATTTTGAGTGGGTTTTTTTTTTTTTTATCTCTGCAGAAGATGGTAATATGAACAGACACACCTGAATTATATTGATACTATCCACTCAGTTGTCCAGTTTAAACCACATTTTGTCGAGTAGATATATATTGTCCTATTGTCCATATCAATCAATACAATACAAAACAATTGTTACCGGAGGAGGTTGTCTCAAAGAAAATAATCCAACTTAAGCTTATTTTCTAGCTGCACTTTGTTTGTCTAATCTCCTAGTAATTTATAAAGCGTAAACACAGCCATTTTTGTCCAATGCGTATGTCGAACCTTGAACTATTTTTTTAAATGGGATCAAACAGGCTATTTTAGCACAGTGATGAATATGCTTTTGGCCTATAAAGACGGATAAAATGGGTATGAAATTCAGTTCTTTTTTTATTTATTTCGTGTGTCCGAAGCGCTTTTCTGTATCTATTTGTCTACCTATTTAAAGAGGGTAAAGAAAGGTAACACCCAATATCCACTAATTCGTACAGTACAGTTTATTCGCCCCTTTCATGGTCCGCCACATATGAGTGATAAATGTTCGATTGAAAGGGGATAATTTACATATTTACACATCATCGTCTGCAACTCATTTCACAAAAAATCTTACGTGAAAAAATATTACTTCGATCAATATTAGTCTTAAGATTTTTTGTGAAAAGAGCTCATGGTGCGTAAGAATATCATTGTTTTTTTTTTATATAATTATAGGTGAAATAGCTGATGCTGTTGTGAGTGGATACGTTGCCTCACTGAAGGAAACTTACCCAGCATTACAGAAAACGCCAGAAAAGGTACAGAAATTAATGAGTTAAATGTTGATTAAATTTTTCATTACTTTGTGTGTGGAGATTAAAATTTCAACACTTTCAATTGATTGAAAAATGGAGAACAAGATACCAAGATGACAATCCTTAAATTATTTACATAAGTCTTCAGCATAACGAAAGCTCTGCGGTATTTGACAAAACTTCTGTATACATCACACAGCCCTAAAATCTAGTACATATATCATTTTTCTTCAAGTTCGCGTTTTGCATCAAATCTTCCGCAAGTCCATTTTGTACCTAGAAAATCGGAATTCGCAATTACAATTGTTTTATTCTTTTTACCTTTCGAATGTAATATTTGTTCAACAAATCCGTTATAATACTAGTAGTAGCATCTGTAATCAAGTAGTTCGTCATAACAAATTTCTAAACTTCGTAATAAAAGAATATTGAAAGGAGTAAAACAATTTCTGTCTTACAGGTTGTCTGACTTGTTTAGGAGATTGAATTACTAATAGGAGTAAATTTTCTGTCAGACCGGTTGCCTGTTCTTTGTTGTAGTCCATAGAATTACTATAAGGAGTCAATTTTCTGTCTGAACGGTTGCCTGATCTTTGTTGTTGTCGATATAATTACTATAAAGAGTCAATTTTCTGTCTGACGTGGTTGCCTGATCTTTGTTGTTGTCAATAGAATTACTATAAGGAGTCAATTTTCTGTCTGACTGGTTACCTGATCTTTGTTGTTGTCAATAGAATTACTATAAGGAGTCAATTTTCTGTCTGACTGGTTGCCTGATCTTTGTTGTTGTCAATAGAATTACTATAAGGAGTCAATTTTCTGTCTGACTGGTTGCCTGATCTTTGTTGTTGTCAATAGAATTACTATAAGGAGTCAATTTTCTGTCTGACTGGTTGCCTGATCTTTTTTGTTGTCAATAGAATTACTATAAGGAGTCAATTTTCTGTCTGACTGGTTGCCTGATCTTAATTCAGTCGTTGAAATTATTGTAAGGAGTACATTTTCTGTCCGGCCGGTTGTCTGATCTTTGTTTAGTCGATGACATTACTGTCAGTGGCAGATCCAGGGGAGGGGGGTTCCGGGGGTTTTTGACGATCGATGCATTTGAATGGGGACATATAGTTGGAACCTCCCCTTTATCCTGGGTTAGGACCCTCCCGCCATTTTATAAATGGCTGGATATGCCCCTGACTGTAAGGAGTAAAACAGTTTTTGTCTGGCCGGTTGTCTGATCTTTGTTTAGTCGTCTGTCCGATAGGTGGTCTGATCTTTGTTTTGTCGATATAATTATTGTAAGGAGTGAATTTTCTGTCTGACCGGTTGCCTGATCTTTGTTTAGTCAAAATAATTATTTTTATGGAATAAATTTCTATCTGCTATCTGATCGGTCGCCTGATCTTTAAATTTGGTCGATAGAATTATTGTAAGGAATAAATTTTCTGTCTGACCGGTGGTTGCCTGATATTTGTTTAGTCGATAGAATTATTGCAAGAAGTTAATTTGGTGTTTGACCGGTTGCCTGATGTTTTTTTTACTTCATTTCACTGGTTCATCGATTCAAATTTAGCGTATAGTGAATAGGCCGGCTTGTTATTTACTTATTAAGAAAACCTAATGATTCATAGTCATTATAGTGTGTCAATGACTCCATGTTAACTTAATACAAGTATAAAACCTTTATTTCATAAACTTTCAATATATTCAGACAAAAAATCATTTGTTTGTTACAGTTTATCAACTATTAGTTTATGATACTTAACACAACAGCTAATGCAAACTGTATATTTTTTCTTCAGCTCTACAAAAAGACAAAACGAAAAACATCAAAATATATAAAACAGGGCGCTCAGGCTGTTCTAAGAACTTGTGCTGGACAGACTTTCCTTGCTGGAGTTGATGCTCTTACAAACGTGTCAGATCTCGCATACAAACGTCTCAAAGAACATAATCGAGCAGCAGCGAACATGTCAAAATCTGAAAAACACGCACAAACAGAAATTATGTCGCCAACTAAGACCAGCCGGGGACAGCAGACAAAATTAACAGGAGGAGGCGACAGATGGGTTAAAAAACTTGTGAGTGCATTTACAGAAAATAAAAACCATAAAGAAATGATAAATAGTCCTAGGTTCTTAGTAAAAACTTGTACATCACCAAACTAAATTTGGTGAGCGTTTATAATGGAATTAGAAATAGAAATATATGCAAAGATAGATATTTCACAAAACCATGTTTTAAAGTTCATACGTATCAGTTTTGTCATTGCATTCTTGTCCAATGAAGAATTCAAAGAATGTTATGTTTTCTTTACAGACACGTGAAGATGACCAGCGTATCCAACCATCATTTACTCTAACATACATTGTTTTGTTTCCACTGGCCTTGTTGGTAAGTAGTCCACTCTATCACACACTACACTGTTTCCACTGGTCTTGTTGGTAAGTAGTCTACTCTATCAATTACACTATTATGTTTCCGCAGAGCTTGTTAGTAAGTAGTCCAGTCAACATTTGCTCTATCATACATTGTTATGTTTCCACTCGCCTTGTTGGTAAGTAGTCCACTATATCATACACTTTGATGTTTCCGCTTGTCGTGTTGGTAAGTAGTCCAGTCAACATTTACTCTATCATACTTTACTAGTATTATATTTTCACTGGCCTTGTTGGTTAGCACACCAGTCAACATTTACTCTATATGATACTTTACTAGTATTATATTTTCACTGGCCTTGTTGGTTAGCACACCAGTCAACATTTACTCTATCATACTTTATTATGTTTCTGTTGCATGGCTTTGTTGCTAAGTAGTTCATTTGCATGGCAGTGTATTTTCTTTTATCGAAAATAAATACGAGTTTCCATAATATCCATATAATTTAAAATAGTTTTTTTCTACATTTTTTACAACTGTATATAACGTAACATTCAACATAGGATGCACACAACCACTTATCGATTTGTTACACTTTAATACGTCTATTGATAGATACGATTTTTGAGAGTCATACAGAGGAAGCTACATGCCATTGCCGATCGACCAACTGGGACCAGAAAATCTACAAGACCTAAATTCGATCGACCTGCACTCACGCCAGAGAAAGTAGAAGAGATTGAGTGTAGAAGAAAGGTAATATTTTCTTTTATTACTCACCAAATCAGCTTAAGATTTTACTTGTTCTATAATTTGCTAAAATTTATACACAATGATCTTATAGATGCTTATAAAAATTTTTTTTAATTATGTAAGGCAACGATTATTTGTTTTAAAATATACCACCACCTCTGTCTAATACTAGCGATCTCTCTTATATATGACGAAGAGCTGGTGAGTTCTTTTATCCACTGGGTCATACCAGACTGAAGCTTGACATGTGTTGCTTGTACATGAAAAAGGCCGTGACATTTCGATACAAAAGATTTTGGAGTCAGAATAATGTATTCAAATAGAATGAAATGTCTAGTGGATTTATGCCTTGTGAATCAGTAGTTATCATTTCTGCTACATGTATACAAGTTGGTTTAGTACAGAGCAGGTTCTAATATAACACTATAATCCTAAATATACGTCGTCCTGAACATGCATGAAATATTTGCCACTGGACATTTAGCGAACATCAATCAATCAATCCTAATTATACGTGAAACTTTTTCCATTCGAAGTTAAGCAAGTAACAGTATAAATCATTTGACACTACGATATTGTCTTTCTGAATATAAATTTGATTTATACTTGCTGCAGCCTTGAAGTTCGTTCAATCAAAACCGCATTGGTGCTTGGGTGCTCGCCGCCTCGATTGAGGAAGGTCATGGGTTCGATCTCCGGGTAAGGCAAACCTGGAAAGGCTTGAAAATGTGTATGTACTGCTGCTTCGCTAAGCATGCAGTATTTAGAAGCCAGAGCAAATACTGGTCGGCCATGAGTCACAATTATGTGTCCAGGTCCTACTGACTATTCCGTTGAGAACTAGCACGTGGAAATCCAGCTCGTCGTGTCGGTCTAGTACAAAGTAAGATTCATTTTCATATCACTTTAACCTTCCGAATATGCTTTTGATTTGCCACTGGAAGTTAAACAACCATCAATCATCATCATCATCATCATCATCATCATCATCATCAATCAATCAAAATCACATGAAAAAACAATTTATTCCTACATATTTTACAGGTTTCTCCAAGAAAACGTTTAAACAGTTCTATCATAGGTAATATCAAGAGTGTAGCTTTCAGAATGCTAGGATTTCAAACCAGCTGTGTCAAACAAACGGACATAAGGCAGTTTCTGACCTGCAGTAAACATAGTGAGTCAATCATTTTTATTTTACACAATGTTAAAAGAAAGTAAAGATACATCTAATTAAAAATGAAGTCATTTAATATTTTGTCGATATAATTGCATAATATATTGAACTAGGACATAATATGTTATAACAAAATTATATTTTCGTTGTGGCACTTGCCGGCTTCTTTCTGAAAATTCACATTTATATCCTGGACATATTTTGTTTGTGAAAACTTGAAAAACCAGGTAAGCGGTGTTTTCATTTATGACGCAAAATTTAAAAACACTTGACAACTAAAATCAAAGAAACTCGCTTTTATAGGTTGCCTTCATCTCAAACACATTGCGGCCTTCAACACAGAACAAAAGCTTACAGTGACAGTCACCACACATGGTCTTTTGAGTCTATTTAAGCGGAATTATTTGTTACAATGTATATGCCGATCATCAGCGCTTTTATTGCTTTTTTTTTAATTCTTAATCACAATGCAGCCTCCAACACGGAACAGAAGCATACACCTCACTAAAAATTTAAGATGGTCTCTTGAATCGGTTTTCGGAATTATATGCTTAATATCGATCACGCTACATCTAGGCATTAGGAAAGACATTTACAGATTTCATTTGACCTTGAGCTAAGTTTTGAAAGTCTTTTGCCCGTTAAATTATATCAGTTATTGCAGTAGGTGAGGCATTTTAATGTGTCAACTCTCGTTTGCTTATATATATTACTGTTTAAAATGTGTATCTCTCCCGACACGACTGCAGTTTATATGTGGTGAAAAAAAAATCCTCTAAAAATGAAAGTATACATATATACAAACTTCTCAATTTTCAGGACCTTTCAACATGTCGCCATTAATGGATAGTGAAGATGCTGAGAAAAAACGTAAACATGATGATATTCTGTCGGATGATAGTTCTACTGATGATGAAGACCTCGTCAACATGGACTTGAAGAACTATGTCTCGGATGAAGATCCAGATTATGAGGTAGTGTTCATTGTTTACCTATGTTTATGTCCAGCCTACGATAGTAGAGGGGGGAGGGTATTGTCCTTTCCGGTCTCTGTGCCTGTCCGTTCGTCCTTCCCTTATGTCGGGTTTTAATAAATGCTCACTTGAAGATAAGTTTACCATGAAGTTGTGGTCACATCAACTAGAAACTTAGTACACATGTTCATGATGATGATTGTAAACTTAATCCCGCTGCAAATGTTTGCACCTGTCCTAAGTCAGGAATCTGATTACAGTAGTCGTCTGTTTATGTAGTTCATACTGCATGTTTCTCGTTTTTATATAGATTAGACCGTTGGTTTTTCCGTTTGAATGGTTTTACACTAGTAATTTTTTGGGGCCCTTTATAGCTTGCTGTTCAGTGTGAGCCAATGCTCCGTGTTGAAGGCCGTACCTTGACCTATAATGGTTTACTTTTATAAATTGTAACTTGGATGGAGAGTTGTCTCATTGGCATGCCCAAGTCAAAGTGGAAGGCAGTTTCTTGGCAGTTTCTTAGCCTTCCAAGTTCACATATTTAGCAGTTTCTGATGCTTGGCAGTTCTTAACCTTCAAAAATTAACCAGTTACTTCAAATACAAAAATAAACAGTTTTCCTAAACCTTCACAGTTATTCTGGCAGTTCAAAGCAGTTCCTTAGCTGCTTTAGGCAGTTTCTTAGCAGTTATTTTCACGAAATATTTAAATTAGGTACTAAAAACTGCTTTCAGTTCATGAATATTCATATCAAACTGCTTCTAGTTAATTAATATTCATATAAAACTGGGAAATAACTGCTAAGGAAAATGCAAATATGGTCATGATCTTATGCATTATTTATACTAGTAGCTGTTAAAAAAGTAACAATAACATGTAATAATTATCAAAAACAAAAATATATCTTCTATGTTATCCAAATTCATGGTTAATATGTTTAGCTTTTATGTATAACAATTAAATATTGATGTCAGAGGTGCAACATGTAATTAAAGTTTCAATTAAGTCATCTGATAAAATGGAAATCAGGATTCATGCAATCTTATATACAATGATATACTTGAAAATAATTACTTGTTATATTTCCTGATTAGTAAGAATTGTAAACCGAATCAATTTTATTCTGATATAATCTTTATAAATACATGACACGTAAACCAGCTGGACTGTCACAATTATGAGGAGCGAAAATAAGAATTAAGCTATTATAGATAAATATATCATACTTGTCATTATTTTTTTGTTATGATAAAAATGTATGTTGAATAAAACATTGAAAGTACAATTTCAAAAAATCAAAATAATAGAATCCAATTTTTTGCACTTACCAGAATTAATAAAGATGTAATCCAAAATTCACACAATTAATATGATTGTAATCTTCAAAAATTGCCATTGAGACAAGGCCCATCTTTAATATTCAATGTGAAAAGAACTATTTCCAAGTATATATTATATCCCAAGTAAAATTTCATTTTGTTCATGTAAGAAGACACATCTTTCTTGTTGTCTTCCTGTATTCCAAATTCAAATTTTATGATATTGCAATGCATGGGGATGTTTAAGGAGTTGTTTGATTCTGTTGAAGTGTTCCCTTAAAGATTACTAGCAATTAAGTGCCTAAATCTTTAAAATGTGATAAATAATATTAAGAAAAAATATCCATTTTTGTTTAAATAAGTTAATTTTATTAAAAGTGGAAGTAATTGCCAAACAATATATATTAAGATAAGTGTTCTCCTTCATGTGCCCTAAATTTCAGTGAAGATAGTACTTCCTGTGTCCACCACAGAGAGGTCAATTGTAAACAGATGGCATATTTCTAAAAGACCACTTTTATCTAAATCACATTAACTCTGTTTGATGCAACTGCCAAGAAATAATTTACAAATCAAACCGCTAATTTTATAAAAATAACTGCCAACCTTAGCTGGAAGACAATAATATAATCTTCATCAAACTGCTTTGAAATATTTAAACTGCTTAAATTAACTGCTATCTTTTACTTGTAGGCAGTTATTTTAAACTGCCTAAATCAAAACTGCTTTGTACTGCCCCAAAACAGCTAAAAATTCAAGATACTGCTATAAAACTGCCAATGAACTGCTTAAATAGGCAGTTCACTTTGACTTGGGGCACTCATACCAAATCTTCCTATATCTATTTGTCAAAATGTATAAAAAAATTATAATATTGACCCAGATTTTGCGGTTCACTGAACAATGAAATATAATTACAGGGGTTTGTTACTATTTGCCAGGTTAACTATCCATGGGAACCCCTAAAAATGGTTTGTTACTATTTGCCGGGTTTACTATCCATGGGAACCCCTAAAAATGGTTTGTTACTATTTGCCGGGTTTACTATCCATAGGAACCCCTAAAAATGGTTTGTTACTATTTGCCGGGTTAACTATCCATGGGAACCCCTAAAAAAAGACTTTTTTTAGGGGTTCCCATGGACAGTTAACTCGGCAAATAGTAACAAACCCCTGTGATGTAATATAGTACAGAGATATTCTTGTTTAAGTCTATTACTGTAATTAATAGATGGCAATTAAAATTTTCGAAACTGATCAGTCAGGGAATGATTATTTCATTTATAGGTGGGAAAGATGAGATTTCAACATTATTTTGTTTAAGAAGTTAATTTTGAGGCAGTGTGGGTTGTGACAAGAGCTACCAAACAAATCATTTCTATTAATATTCTTTTGAATGAAGCAAGTTGGAGAAACTGTCCTGTACATCAAAAAGTGTAGTGTCTTGCCTGTAACTTTAACTTTGATTTTATTGCCATATAAATCATATTATAAACGTATGTAGAATGCGAGACAGGGACGTGCTTTCGTACTAGTATGCATGTAATATTTGCCACTGGGCATTTAACACCGATCCATCCATCCTTTTTAAAACTCGATGTGATTATTTTTTGTAATGCAAGATAACAGAACAGTGAGTTGAAGATTCGAGGTTTTTTTTTATTTGGCTACACTTCAAATACATTTCTGCTTTATTTTGAATTAATTTGAAATTCTTTAACCTGCAATGCTTTAATTCAATAAAAATCGTTTCGCTAAACATCTGCGCTTTTTAAGGGACATTTGCGCTTTAAAGAAAATGTGATGTGCGCTGTTCCTACAGGAGATTGCGCTTTTTCTAATTGACTTGAGTTTTTAGGTTTTATGACTTCTCTCCTCCTTTCTCCGGGCTTTATGACTAACAGATTTGACCTGGTGGAGTTCAGTTATACATGTAAATAAAAAAGTCTGAATGTCAATTAATATCCAAATCGCTGCAAATTTATATACACTTAGAAGATAAAAGTTTTTAAAACATACAGGACACAAACTAACATTATAGGTCAGTTGGCTTTTATACCTGTAGCAGGCCCAGATCCAGGATTTTCTGGTACAACTGCAAGCCAGCGTTTGGAGTGACGCTTGTAAAAAAGTATATGCATTTATCATATATGTAGCTCCGTAAGGAGGGCGGGCCTCTGGCCCCTCCCTAAATCCGCATCTGTGTATTCTAAAACAATGGAATAAACCAAGTTGGCTCGCATTATCTGTCCTAACTGATATTTATCCCACATTTCAAATAAACAAATCAATCATACAACATCTTCTAGCTTATTTTTATATATCAACCTCCCTCCTTCAGTGGGGGCCTTGATTGCCGAATTGTCGACGTAGTTCATCTACTGTCACTACTAGCCTTTCAACACTGAGATTGTTAGTTCGAATCCTGCACGTGGCAGGTGCATTCGACTCCAATATTAAGTTAATTGAATAGGAATGCCAGTTTTCCTACCGAAAGTTGATGATTCTCTCCGGGCACTCCGGCTTCCCTCACCAATACAAACTGTGCTGAAAGTGGTATTAAACACCAATAATCAATCAGTATATCTTAATTGATAAGGTTTACTGATTAATTGTGTGGTAGCTGATCACCACATAGTATTGTTTGGAATCGAGAGCCAGCAGTTGTGTAATTGTCTGTCAGAAAATCAAGGAACATCTAGGTACTTGTGGACTCAGCTTCAGTCATCATAATTTCCAGCAAAAACTTTCTCAAACGTTGTTATTCAGAAAAATAATAATCAGAAAAACAAACTCCTTCTTCAAAGTCAGTCTGAATGAATAACCGTTGGTTAAAAATAAATTTCGGTCTTCACCAATTAAAACAATTCCAGATTTCATAATTGAGATATTGTGAACTGACGACAAATTTAAATTGATTGCAAATTATTTAAGATTACAGACAAACAGCGCAAATGACCGGTCAATTTATATTAGGTTTATTAAATTAAAAGCGCAAGTGTCCATCGTGCATGTTTGGAGCGCATATATGTTTTTGGCTTACAGGTAAGAAGACGCAAACGGCGTGTGTCTTTAACGATAGATTATAGAAAGCAGTTAAAATTGTACTCTACCGTACTATAATTCTTTGAAATTCGTTCATGATTTGCATTTTATTTTGAATTGTATATTTATTAAAACTTTTTTTCATTTCTAATGTATGTTTGTTTATGTAGCCGACAGATGAAGAAGAATCTGACAGCAGCATCGATTCTGATGAAGAGGAAGAGGAAAGTGACTTTGATACGGTAGAACTCGGAGAAGGTGGATTAGTAGAAATCAAAGATAAGGCAAGTTAGTCCTGAAATTTACAAACGGACTAGTGATATTATTCCTTTATGAGCATGCTTTCAGTAATGGCGAGCATTCATTGATACGGTATTCAGTATTGGTTTTTTTTTTTGTTTTTTTTTTGTTTTGTATATTTATTTCTATCATTTTGTTATCATGTAGTAAGTGTCCTGATTTTTAATGAATGTTCATTTAAATATCATTTTTCAAGTGAATTAAAATCTGATTTTAAAGTTATAAGGAAAACATGTTTCCTATATGAGATAATTCCTGTACACACCTTTAACAAAAGTTATCCTGAATTTTTAAATTATAAAAAAGAAAATTAGATTACAACTTTAATTTAAATCCAATCAATCATTGATTGTTTTATGACTTAATGTATCATAAAATCGGGGGGAATATGACAGAAAAAATGTAACACCCACCAAAACTGAAAGTAAAGAACCAAAAAGGAGGCCAATGAACGAAAATATTGAAAAACAGAAAGAATCTAATATAAGTTTGATATAGTCTTGAATTTACAAACGGACTTCTCATCAAGGATAAATAAACACATTTAATACTTTTAGCTTGCTTTCTATAACTGTAGCATTCTTTGATATATACGGTATTGTTTATTATTGTTTTGTTTGTACTAGTTTTTGTTTTGTAATTCCACTGATAGAGATTAAAGAGAGGGTTAAGATCTTGAGAAACTCGTCTATCGATCCCGCCACAACTACATATGCACAATCTAATTAACATACAGATTCGGTATCCAAGCTTTGCTGACATTGAAAACACCCCGTTTTACTTTCTTATCTGGTAATTATTACATCAGCCAATGAAATTGCAGCCTTCAAATTTTTGAATGTGTGTATTAATCCAACAAAACTAGAAGATTCCGAAAGGTCTTTGAAACAGAAAGTAGAACGGAACGTTTTCAGATCCTGGTAAGCAAAGCTTGGACACAAGATCTGTATTTTTATCAGATTGACATATGCCTGTCGTTTGTCAGATTGATTGTCAATGGTTGTCTTTGTTAAGTCTTAATGATTTTTTTTTATCTTTTTAGGAATTTGGTTTTGATGACAGATCTATGATAATATCTGTTAATTCTAGTCACAACTTGTTTAGACACGGGGCGATTCATAGTTTGACATACTGTATAGGCACTTGTCTTCTGTTGATCAAATACATGTACCTCCAAATATTTATATGAAGTGTGCAAAAGGGGATGAGAATGCACCTTTTAAATTGAATTGTGATCTTAATGTAATGGAAAACATGTGTGCACCTTTGACAAAAGAAACAAAACAAACTTGATTGTTTAAATTTTATAACTGAAAAAAATATATTACAGGAAAATGTAACACCCATGAAAAATAAAAGTAAAGAACCAGAAAAGAAGCCAATGAATGAAAATGTTGAAAAACAGAAAGAATTGAAAGGAAAGTCATCTCCAAAGAAAGTGGTGCTATCCCCAAAGAAACAACCTAGTACAAACGTCCAACCTGTTACAATAATGAACAAGTCTCCAGTTAAACAAGTCAGTGGTAAAGATGAAAAGACAGATTCAAATTACAACCAGAAGTTCAATGATCAGTCAAAATCGTCAGAATCCGGCAGCAAGCAAACAAAAACAGGATCGAACACGGCAAACATTGGGAATACTGAAAAAAATCAAGGAAACAAGAAATCATGAACATTCAAAGCCAAGACTGCCTGCCAAATTCTGTTGTATGGCTTGTCCATGTTTGTAAATGACTTCCGTTTCAGTAACATTGATATTCTCTTTCTTTGATTACTTCACAGAAAAATGCAAAATTAAGTTTTTTTGTATCAGTAAAAATAATGTAAATATTGACTGTTTATACATGTAAGACTGTGTTATAGTGCTACATTGTTTATTTGAATCAAAATATACTAGTGTGTTTTTGCTCACCATAATATCACTGTTTTCAATTATTTTTCAACAACAAATATTGCGGAAGATTTAGTTTCATCTATACGACTTTTTTCGACATCATAGAGTTCAACACTTTGGTCACCGTCCATGGATTTCTTATCTCTAGTAGCAAGCATCGTCAAACTTAGTACAGTGATTTTCTGTATAAATAGAAGAAAGAATAGAATGAACCCATAGTCAATATCAAAATCTTAGGTCATAGGACAATATCAAAATAAGAAGATTTGGTATGATTGCCAATGAGACAACTCTCCACAAGAGACCAAATGACACAGAAATTAACAACTATGGGTCACCATACGGCCTTCAACAATGAGTAAAACCCATACCGCATAGTCAGCTATAAAAGGCCCCGAAATGACAAATGTGAACCAATTCAAACGAGAAAACTAACAGCCTGAAACAAAATACAAAATAATGAACGAAAAACAAATATGATATACAGCAACAAATGACAATCACTGAATTTTAAATACCTTCACATAACTTTGACTGAGTATGTGACGGAACGCTTCACTGTATGGTGTTCTAAGTTCTGAACATGCATGAAATATTTGCCACTGTACGTTACGCAACCAACAATCAATCAATTAAGGTGTAAGAACAGAAGTAGAAAGAAACGTGGTCATGTATAAGTACTATGGAACAGATTTATTTTTATTCAGAAAGCAATTTGAAAAATGACTCGGTTCATTAGACTTTTTGTTTATCGTTTTCATTTAAAAGAAGACATTCGCAAATATTACCTCGGTGAAAGGCATGGCAATAAAAAACAAATAAGACCGACAAAGCCCACATGAGAAATTCAATTAAAACAAACTTAAACTTAAACTGACGACCTCATTTCTGACTTTAAACAGGTATTTTCCAGAGAAAACAGTGAGATTTAGTATATTTGGCATCAAGCCTCCTCCTTGTATGATATTCAAAATGATTGGTCCAAAGTTTTAAATCAAACTTTTTGATAAATGCATATGCGTATATTAAGGGGCCAGCTGAAGCCAGCCTCTGGGTGTGGCATTTTCTCGCTGCGTTGAAGACCCATTGGTTGCCTTTGGATGATTTCTAATCTTTGGTCGGGTTGTTGTCTCTTTGACACATGAAATGAAATTGTGAGTTTAGCAACAGTCATATTCATGATATAAACAATGTTGTAGTTCAAAGCATGAGATGAGCAATCAAAATTAGATTGTACAGAAAAAGATTTCAATACAAACAAATGTGGTAGGCCGATAGGCTCAATAACGGATACACAACAGAATAAAACGTAGAAATGACCAACAAACACAATATGAAAAAAATGCTACTGTAACAGCAGCCTTAAAAAGGTATTGAATACATTAAACTATTTTAAGTTTATGGATCAATTATTTGTGTATCTATCAACGGGATTTTAGTCTAAAACATTAAAAAAAAATTGCAAGAAATTTCAAATATAAAAAAGATGTGGTTTCATATCAAAACCTGGTTTTTGTCGATCCTTCGAAATTCATGTCGCGTAAAGCGAGACATGGCGATCCTAGATTCCTTCGTCGTCGGCGGCGGCGGCGTCAACATTTAGGTTCATAATGTTGTTTAAGTTTGGGTTTTTTTAACATCAATAACTAAGTTAATGAAACTTTGGCAGAATTTTTTTTGGGATTAAGATATAATGTCAGAAGTAAAATTTTGAAAATATATTTCTTTCAGTTTTCAGTATTTTACTGTATATGGACTTAGTTGGGCTTTTACGGTTGTTTTTTTTTTTTGGCAGTTAGTCTAGGATTACATTCTTTTGACCTGGTCAATTTGTAAACCTTCATGGATTGTTAAACTTGGACAGACGCTAATCTTTAAGATCAAGATATAACATTTAAAGAAAAAGTTTGATTTTTTAAAATTCTGTATTTTACTGATAAATGGACTCACTTTTTACAGTCAACATTACATTTTCAAACTGACAGAAGCAATCGTAAGCGAGACATAAAAAATGTAACATGACCCAGTGGGCACTCGACGTTGTAACAACGTTGAAATTTGGTTGAAATTTGGTCATGACGTTGATCGACCTAAATTCAACGTTGCTCTAACGTCATGGTATTCAACGTTGACTTTACAACGTTGTTTCAACGTTGAATTTACGTCGTTAAAATCAACGTTTAAACAACAACATTGATTCAACGTTAGGTTAACGTCAGTCAATCGCGACAGAAAAATCTCATTGTCAAAATTGAAAGGTATAGATATATTTGATGAGCAGATCGGACAAGAAGCAGTGCTGCAGTATTATAAACGATTGGATAATAAGTGGCTAATCCAGAACTTTTTATAACACTTATAAGGGGTCCACTGACTGCCATAAGCGTGAGGGGGCTTCCTCCTGTCATGCTTCTATGATCCCTTTATAATCAATCTTTTTGTTTTCCACGAAAAAGGGGGTAGAACGGATTGCATTGTTTATGAATGGAAAGGAGTTTTGGGCAAGAACAAGTGGTCAGGAGACATCACCAATAACAAATCGGCTTTTTCAAATTAATTTTTTTTGTGTTTATTTTTTAAGTATCTTTAAAAAAAAACCAATTCTTACTAATCATTAAGTAATTTGGGTTTGATGATTCTCTATATTTTGGGAGATCTCAAAACCTGTTCATGTTATCTTAATTATATGTATATCCAGAGACATATATTGTATTATATGTCTCTGGTATATCTGTATAAATATGATATATTCTTAGTTTATATTTTAAAATCAAATCGATTTGTTTAGTTGCTTTCTTTCATTTAAATAAATAGGAGAAATTTTTTGGTATATTTATTTTAATTATTTTTACCGATTGATATTTAATATATAAACTTAAAATATCATCGATGTACAATGTAATCATAATAATTGAGAAGTTTTTAAATTTTCGCGGTTTTTCAAGTTGAGTTCCGAATATTTTCTTTCGGATGCGCACGCAAGCACGCGCACCTCTTTTCAACATCCGTTTAGAACATTTTGAAAATCATCCTCGAGAAATTATCGCACCAGACTGATGAACAAATAGTGAACAACTGCGTCTAAGGAATATAAAGACGAGAGAAGACTTTTCTGTATAAACCTCTTGATATTAGCGTAAGTATATTTTACAGTTAAATTAACGAAGAATCATGATATATACAAACACATTCAAATGATCAAATTAGTTATCTGCATGTTTACGTTCACAGAAATTATGACAAGGTCTTATCTTACTGAATCTGATTCAGTTTCGTGTCAAAACAGTTAAATGATTTGATTGTATATAACCTCTAATTAGCGAACTGAAATAAAACATATCTATCTATGTACAGAATCAGTAATATCAGAAAGGGGAGGTGGGGGGGTGCCATCGAATACTAGCCAATTCGTTCAAATACAACTCGATAGGCTGTGTCAAATACACATAGAAATGGTCTGCTCTTAAACACTGTTTAGATTTTTTCGTAAAATATCACTCATCTTTCATTATTTCATCTTTATATGAACATTATGCTTATTGCAAAACACAGATCTGGTTAGAATTCATGCTTTGTCTTGTTATTGATGCAAGCTGGAACAATTGTTTCAAATGGACATGTTGTGTTTTATGATTTAAAATAATTGTTTTATAATTGGTAGAATTTGATAACATTTCCGGCTTTTAAAAGTACACAACTTTTATTATGTAATTCAAATTTATGTTATTTCTCTTCCATGCTTTCAGATGCTGTTTTATTCTGCCACAAAGAGACACCAGAATCCAAAATACCTGAGCAGTGTGCAAGACATGTAAAGTGTGCCCCACAGAGAGCAGAAGGAGTTGCCAGGCCAAAAGAATAAATCTTAAAAACAAAATAAATTTTTCATTTTAAAAACCTCTTTTTTGTTAATCTCTATAGTTAATTTAGTGCCAGTAAAAAAAGGGCAGTGAAATTTAGAAATACATTATTTGATGTTACCGGTATGCAACTTTTTGTTCGGTTTACTCAATTGTATCGGGTGTATAGATAATGATTGAATGAGTAAACAGCTTGGTGATGGTATGGTTTGTTCCGAATGCCTTCAAGATAAATGTAAAAAAACACATACGGTATACCCTCAAAAAGTCAAATTACAGTTCAACAAGATATCAATAAAATTTAAAAAAAAAAGACAAAAAAAAAAGAACTAAATATCGGATAACAAAAACTTAAAATGAAATCAGAATTTGTTTAAATGGTCCTGCTATGTATTCACATTAAACAAAGGAGGCATTTTGTGTAACCGTGTCAAATTTGCTGCATTTACATGATTTTGTATAAGTTGGAAAACTTGATCAACCAGAATCAAACCAGTGTGCTGTAGTGAGTTTTTAAATATGTTCCTATGCTTTGAGAAATTGATGTGCTAGAAGAGAAAGCTTTGTTAATATTGAGATATTTGGTTTCAAATAAAATCTTGATATTGTAATCGTCTCTCCTCTTTGGTTTTGATTGTTATTGTCTACTATTCTCTTTTGGAGTTGTCTCTTGTTGATAAAAGAACTGTTGATGGATATTCTAACTTGAAATAAAACTTGAAAGAGGCTTTTTTATTTCATAATTCAGGTATCTTGTTATTGTATTTGAACAAGTGCCAAAAAGGATCAATTTACATCCAAGAACCATCACTTCAACTAACCTACAATTGACCTGACTTCAACCTAACTCGACCTGATTTCAACCTAAACCCGACTTGATTTCAACCTAACTAAGACCTGATTTCAACCTCACTGGACCCGATTTCAACATGTTATCAACGTCAATACAACGTTGAAACTGCAACGTTGATTCAACGTCAGAATTTCAACGTCATTACAACTTTCAAAACTAACCCAAGTTTCAACGTTGTAACAACGTTGAAGACTGACATTGGATCAACGTTGATACAACGTTTTGTGCCTGCTGGGGAATTATCTCATCTGTACAAATTAGCACAATTCTTGATAAGATTATTTCAGAAGAACTTGAAGTTTTAAATAATTGGTGACTTCAATTAAGTTTATTGTAATAGGTGTTTAACAACAAGTAAGCAACATAAATATTGCATAGCGACGGTTACAAAAATGCGTGGTGTTTGTCCTCTGAAGTATGAACTTAGCAATGTTTAAAGAGGATTTTGGTTTCATTCTAATATAATATCTTAGTCATCCTTATTCTATTTTTACAAAGTTCATATAGAGCATAGCAACACAAAAGTTGCTTAGTTATAGCAGTAAATGTTTGAATAAAAAGATAACCTTTGGTAAAGGAAATGCACAACTAACACATTCTAGTACTAAAAGATTTTTTCGTGGCAAATAAGAATAATATTGCAAACAGGATATCACATCCTACTTTTTATGGTGATGTTGTTTATCGAGCCCGTAAATTTAGATACGATTCGAGTATTCTTATCAATCCTTTAGATAATATAGAACTTGTTATCAGTAAATTAAAACCAAACTAAATATTATTGGTATACACATACATGTATGTACATTCACGGTCCTACTATCTGTCGGTGCCTATATTTTGGCATTGCACAAGGTCATGTTTTTTCTGACTGTTAATGACGTCTTTACACGAAATCCATTTGATGTTGGATGTGTACTGATTGATATTTTAGTCATAGATACAATATTGTTTTATTAGTTGTTTTGGACTTTGAACTAGCTTTCAGTAACTGCGTAGTACCCTCAGATCTATACTTTGTGTCTTTTGTGTTTTTGTTAGTTTTGTTTGTGTGCTTTGTATCGTTCTAACTACTTAAAATCTTCACATTCTTGAGGGAAGAAGACCTAGATGCTTCATACTTTATATATAGATGCCTCATGTTATCAAGTTTCCGTCTGTCATATGTCCATTGTCCTTGGCCTCATTTTCATGGTTCAGTGACTACTTGGAAAAAAAGTTTTTTGTAATGTTAATTTCTCTCTTATTGTGATTAATAGGATAACTATATTTGGTATGTGTGTACCTAGCAAGGTCCTCATGCCTGTCAGACAGTTTTCACTTGACCTCGACTTCACTTCATGGATCTGTGAACAATGTTAAGTTTTCGTGGTCAAGTCCATATCACAAATACTAGCAATAGGTCTACTATAGTTGGTGCTTGGAATGATTGTAAGGTGTACATGTCCAACTGGCAGGTGTCATCTGACTTTGACCTCATTTTCATGGTTCAGTGGTTAAAGTTAAGTTTTTGTGTTTTGGTCTGTTTTTCTAATACTGTATGCAATAGGTCAGCTATATTTTGTGTATGGAAATATTTTACGATGAACATGTCAGTCTGGCAGGTTTTATTTGACCTTGACTTCATTTTCAAGGTTCATTGCTCAATGTTAAGTTTTTGTGTTTTGGTCTGTTTTTCTTAAACTATAAGCAATAGGTCAACTATATTTGGTGTATAGAATGATTATAAGATGTATTTGTCTCTCTTGCAGGTATCATCTGACCTTGACCTCATTTTCATGGTTCATTGGTCAATGTTGAGTTTTCCTGGTTAAGTTTGTTTCTTAGATACTAACCGCAATAGGTGAATTATTTTTGATTCATGGAATTATTATAAGGTGTACATGTCTGTCTGGTAGAGTTCATCTGACCTTGACCCTATTTTCATGGTTCATTGGTCAATATAAAGTTTTTATGGTTTTGTCTGTTTCTTACATGCTATAAGCAATAGGTCAACTATATTCGGTGTATGGAATGATATTAAGGTGTACATGTATTTCTGGCTTGGTTTATCTGACATTAACCTCATTTTCTTGGATCATGTTAAGTTTATGTGATACTTGTAGTAAACTTTATTTCTAGGAATATCCATATAAAATCAATGGTCAGTAAAGCAGTTTTTCCTATGTTCTACTGTTAAGCCACTGTCCCAGGTAAGGGCAAGGTGTAGCGCTAGCGAACATTTTTAACCCCGACACAATCTGTATGTGTATGCAGCTGTCGAAGTCAGAAGCCTGTACTTCAGTGGTTGTCGTTTGTTGTTGTATATCATATTTATTTTTCGTTTATTGTTTTGTACATAAATCAGGCCATTTGTTTTCTCGTTTGAATTGTTTTACATTTGTCATTTCGATACCTTTTATAGCTAACTATGCTTTTTGGGGTTTTGTTCATTGTTGAAGGCCGTACGGTGACATATGGTTAACTTCTATTTCATTTGGTCTCTTTTAGAGAGTTGTCTTATTGGCAATCATACCACATCTTCTTATTTTTTTTATGATTATTGGATGGGAAGCTTACTGTACGTGTGTGTCAATACATATAACAATGTATATGAGGGGACTGGTATTATATGATTAATGATAACATGAACAAAACCTATGTCATACCATCTTCAATGTAACGCGACACATCGTCCATGTGTCAAATACCACAAGCATATCTCAAAGGACACAGACAAAAATATCCATTATTCATATTCAACCATTTAAGGATATGAGGGGTAGGGGCATGAAGTCTTATTCCCACCCAGAGATTGTCATGGCAATTCAGAATATATTTGACTGAGTGGTGGTGATCTTAACAGTTTGCTATATATCTAGCACGTTCTGAAGTGGGGACTGGGACAGAGCGTCCAAGGACAAAAAACTATGGTACATTGTGAAGGTCTAGTCATGAAAAAGGTTTAGGGTGGGGATTTGAACAGGTTTTGTTTAACATTGTTCATGGAATGAAAGGGGCATAGAATGTCCTCAAAGGGCAAACATATACTGGGCTATTAAGGTCTGATCAAGGTAATAAAGAATAAATATGATTTAGGGATGGCGACATGAACAATTTTCAAGATATTTTACAATAAATGATATAAGAGGGTAGGACATGATCCAGGGACAAAACATATGGTCTTATCAATGCAATTAAGAAAGAAAAAATATGGTTAAGGGTGGATATATGAACCGGTTTGGAGATATTTGACGATTTGTTATATAATGGTTGGAGGGGTATGACCCGCAGGGACAAATCCTTTAGTACAGTGACATAGCATGCAAAAAAAGATATATGGTTTTGGAGTGGACTTAATAACAAACGTACATTTGATGTGGAAAGTCGGTTTTATTTTGTGTTGAAATCTCTATTTTATTTCAAAAACATTACCAATGTATAAATTACCGGTACATTTAATGCTCAAACCTTATACATGACCGAATGTAATTATTTTAAATGAGAGCATACTAGTAATTTTCATGACAAAGAATAGACGAAACCGTAACCGATTGAGACAACGAATACACTGAAAAACAAAATAGCTATAAAAAAATCACAGAAACTAAAGCAAAGGTAGCAATACACAGTTAGGAGTTAAGTTTGCATTTTGGCCCCGGTGTATTTTTCAAATATCAAGCTATTGCGCAAATAAATTGATTTGTAGATAGCTGAAGAATAATATAGACTTCAAAGTTGATTTCTATAAACATCAAGATTGTTTTTGCATGTTTTATAGGTCTTTTTTTTTTGACAGTCCGTATTTTCACATCCCATAGGTCTAGAAATTATTGTAATATTTCCCAACAAATATTTTACGCTCGAACTTTTCAATTAAATTTTATGAAAAAATGAGTTGGAATGCATATTATTTTTATTTGACTTCTTGGTAGATAAATGTCAATGGTTTCAGAAAAGGTATCACTGAAATGGATTGAAATTCTACTGTGGACCAAATTTTATGGAATTTTGTGATATTTTTCATCCCCTTGTTTGCAATAGTTTGTATCAAATAAATGCAGACTGTAGCCATGGTCACACAAAAAAGAAATTATGTTTCACCATTTTAACTATTGAAAATAAAATTGGAAGATGCTGTTTCCATACATATGAGCAAAACAGTAAAACTTATTTGTTAGAAAGCAAGGAAAGAGGGTGGTTTA